AGTAGCATCGTGGGCAGGGATATCGGCAACGTCGGCAGAAAGATCAGCATTGTCAGTGGGGATGGCAGCGTCGTCGATAGGGGTAGCCGTATTGTCGAAAGGAATAGCAGCTTCAGCGTTGTTCATAGGAATGTCCTTATTGTTGATAAGCATATCGGTATCGTGAATAAAAGGTTCAGCATCGGGAGCGGAAATAACACCATCGTCAGTGGAAGTATGACAGTTGTCGGGCGAAAAGTCGGCTTCGTGGATTATGGCAGGAACCATACTGGGTGTTGGGATGGGCGGCACTGAGATACTGGGTTGACAATTATCGTGAGGCAGAGCCGCTCTAGGGGTTGGAGCGGTAGGTGGCGTAGAAGTCGAGGAAACAACAGGATCAACATGGTCGACGGGATCAATTTCATCAATGGCAGGGGAATTCTTATCACTAATGGCGGCACGCCATTCATTGCGAGCGATTCGAGGGTCGTACCAAACAGAGTCAGTTTGTTCACCACGGGCTTGGACCAAGCGATCGATGTGCACCCAGGACTCAAGCGGTTCACCGGCGATAGTTTCCAGGAGGTATGTGTCGTATTCATCATTTTTCTTGATAACGATGTACGGTCCTTTGAAACGGGGTTCGAGGCCGAAACGTCCTTCGTGAGTGAGTAAGACCTTTTCACCGAGGTCAAAGCCTAAGGGTTTCATGGCAGCATCCCATTTTTCTTTATCGCGTTGGGCGACAGCCTTCATACGGAATTCAGCGGCAGCACGGGCTTGACCAAGGTCTTCCAGTTCTCGCGACGTAATATCTGCTATGGTGCGTGGATCGGCCATCGTAGTCTTGTCAATGTACGGTTGCAAAGGGTCGCCAGGGAGAACAGGATGTCGGCCATACGTCAGGTAAAATGGGCTATAACCCGTGGTAGCATGGGTACGAATACGGCAGGACCAAAGGGTGGCAGGGATAAATTCGTCCCATCGATGGAGTGCGCCTTTAACGTATTTACGTAACATGTCCTTGACCGTGCCATTAAAACGTTCGCATTTTCCATTTGTACGAGGATGAAAGGCTGACGTGAGCTTGTGGTTGGTCTTGATGCATGCGAGGTAAGCGGTAACCAGGTTACTCTTGAAATTCGCGCCACGATCCATCAAGATTTCGCTGGGGCACCCAAAGTTCATTACGATTTCTTCATAAATAAAATCAGCAACCGCTTCGGCAGATGCCTTTGGTACAGCACGGATAATCGGCCAATTGGTGGCATAGTCGACAGCAACAAGAATCCAGCGATTTCCTCGGAGTGTAGTTGGTAGCTCCCCAATAAAATCAAGATGCCATCGATGGAAGGCCTTGGGAACATCTAGAGGGTGCATTTCACCATGTGGGCTTCGGCTTCGTTTTTGGTTGATTTGACAAGCGGGGCAAGCACGTAACCATTTTTCAATATCACGGCGCATCTTCGGCCACCAAAAACGGGTTCGGAAGATATCCAACATGGTCTTGAGTCCAGAGTGTCCAAAAGATTCGTGGTAACGGGCAATGGTGTCAGCGCGTTCATGAAATTCCAGGAAACGAACTTCCACTACTGAGTCATCGGGGAGCTTGACTTTGCGGTAGATTTCATTGCTTTGGACGACGAATTTTTCTTGGTTACGCTTGACAACGGCACGGGCATGGTCAGGGATCTTGTCATCATCGAATCTGTAAAAGATGGGCCAATCGGTCTGATGGGGAAAATGCATCGCATACAAAAATTCGGGTTCCATGGACGCTTCAGCGGGTTCACTGTGGACACCATCCCGGCGAGACAAATGGTCAGGGACATCATTTTCTTTGCCGGGTTTGTATACAATTTCGGGGTCAAACAGTTCTAATTCGGAAATCCATCGGATTAGGCGAGGCGTCGGCTTGATTTGTTGGCGGAAATATTTGAGCGGCAAGTGATCCGTATATACAGTGTACTTGCGTCCATCGATTAAACAACGCCAGGTTCGCAGGGCATGGAGGATTCCGAGGAGTTCACGTTCTTGGGCAGGGTAGGCGCGTTCAGCTCTTGACAACTTTTTGGATTCAAAGGCGAGAGGATGAAAGTGGCCGTTGTCATCAGCTTGCAGCAGGACGGCACCTACAGTACACCGAAATCAGATGCATCGGTTTCGATAATATATGGCTTGTCCATGTTTGGGCTTTGCAGGAGCGGGGCTGAACACATCTTTCCTTTGATAGCTTGGAAACTGGCTTCACATTTGTCGTTCCATATGACAGGCCGTTTCTTTGGTCCCACACCCTGTGTCAAGTCGGTAATCGGAGCAGCTAAACTTGCAAACCCAGGGATGAAACGTCGATAGTGCTGTGCTAGACCCATGAAACTGCGGACTTCCTGTACGTTCGTCGGTGTTGGCCATTCCTTGATCGCCTTGATTTTCTCGTCCGCAGGGAGAATACCGTTGGCCGAGATCTTGAACCCCAGGAAAGTCAGTTCGTGCCGGTTAAATTCGCATTTCTTCAAATTGGCAATCAGCTTGGCTTCACGTAGTCGTTCCAGTACATGTTGCACATGCTTTCGGTGGTCGTTTTCGTTCTTGCTGAAAATCAAAATGTCATCGAGGTAAACCAATGCAAAATCGTCCAAACAATCACCCAGCACTTCGTTCATGAGTTGCTGGAACGTGGGCGGCGCATTAGTGAGACCAAACGGGAGGACCAAAAATTCGTATTGACCGTAACGAGTGTTGAAAGCCGTTTTCGGAACATCTTCGGGAGCAATCTTGACTTGGTGATAACCACTTTGAAGGTCGAGACTGGTGAAACGTTTCGCGCCTTGAAGTCGTTCTAAACATTCGTCGATTCACGGAAGAGGATGCTTGTTACGGACAGTCACCTTGTTGAGTGCGCGGTAGTCGATACACATTCGCATTGATCCGTCTTTCTTCTTAACGAACAATACCGGCGCACCCCAAGGAGAAGCACTGGGGCGCACTAAACCGAGATCGAGAAGTTCCTTGAGTTGTTTCTTCAGTTCATCCAGTTCGGCAGGGCTCATCTTATATGGGGCACGGTTCACAGGCGTAGCATCACCGGTGTTAATGGCATGCCGAACTGATCTATCCGGCGGGAGCCCAGGGAGTCCGTTTTGAAACACGTCATCGAATTGTTTCACCAAGTCTTCCCAGACAGTGTCACGATCTTGTGTGTTGTCAGGAGACTTGAGATGGAGCAGGAAACAATCGGCTTGGTTACGTCGCAGATCTTTTTCGACTTGTTTGGCCGAGATCAAATAATTCAACTGCGGTCTTGACGCGGCACCACGTTGCGGAACTAGATGGTAGTCTTGTCCATTTTCTCGGATACGCCATACATCGGTTCACCAGTTCGGTTCGGGTCTTACAGAGTGTAACCAGGTTCGTCCAAGGATCAGGTCGAATTTCGTGTCGAAAATGTTTGCGATCAATGTGTTGTGGAAGCCATTCAGATTGATGTTCAATATAGCCTTTCGATCGACTGTCTTGATGTCACCACCGGCGGTCTTGATCATACGCGTGGGAGTTTTTTCAGTCTTCATAGCATATTGGGCCATGCGGGAGGATACGTAATTGTCACTGGCACCACTGTCGATCATTGCAAGGAAAGTATGACCATGAATTATAACGGGATACAACGGCAAATCGGTTTCGGAGGTCGTATATAGATGGCTCAGGTAAGAGTTATCTTCATGATCAACAGTAATAATGGAATCGTCAACGTAAGCGGAAACATTTTCTTTATTGGAGTCGTTTGTAACAACTGGAGCTTGAGAGGAGGAAGTTTCTTCTATCGTACACAACTGACCCTCCTTCTTTTCAGTTGTGCCCTTCAAAAACCCGGCGGGCATCATCCATCTTCTTGATCTCCGCCAGACGGACCTTGCAATAACGCTTTATGTGACCAGGCTTGTGGCAAAACCAACAACTGTCATCTTGCTCTTTCTTGCGGTATTCGGGTCTACGGTGTCCAGGGCGCGGTTTCCTTCCGATAAAATCGAGGTCCATCATATCGTCTTGATAGGGGAACTTGGGATGGGCCACAGGAGGAGCACCAACGCGTTTACCACTTTCAAACGCCAGGGCAAAACGGACAGCTTCATCGAACGAATGAGGATCGCGAGTGACCACATGGATGCGGGTGTCTTCTTGCAGTCCACGGGTGAAACGGTCGAGAGCTTCCTCGTCAGAAACAGTGGAGACTTCTAAAAGGACATCATGAAAATCGTCAACGTATTGTTCCACCGATCCAGTTTGACGAAGGTTCGCCAAACGATCACGGGCAGCTCGATTTGAGTGGCTAGGGCGGAATTCGCCATTCAGTTCCCTCTTGAAGCCTTCCCAGGTAGCAGGGACCATGTCGTCTTTTTCGAGTCTTCGGCACCAAACGTCAGCACGATCACGTAGCAAGGTCAAAGCATAGGTGACTTTTTCAGTCACGTCCAACTGCATGGCGTCACCATAGCGTTCAACAGAGCGGATCCATCCATCAATAACGGATGCAGAGCGTTCACCAGAGTAAGTATCTGGCTCACGGACACGGAGTTTCGGAGCGGAGGTCTTAGCCTTGAGAGCCTCCTTCACGGCCGCAGCAACAATTGTTGCCATAGACAACTGTTCTTGAGACAGTCTAGCGTCTTGCATATTCTCGTCTTGAGACATGTTCGGTCGTTAAAAAAAATAATAATTCGTATTTCCAGAGATAACAGAGTCTTCAAAAAATAATAATTCTTGCAGATAAACCGGATCGTTACTATTCAGCCGCTACTAATGTCAGATCGCGATATATCTCCTGGCCCCTATTGGTTCGATATATGCGCGAAATAAAAAGGCTGAATCAAAGATAAAATAAAGAGATCAAAGATATAAACAGATCAGAATGCAGAAGAGAAGTTATCTTTATTCAAACGTCTAGGCTATGGATATTTATACTGAGAGAAATCTATTCTAAAAATAATAAAGAAGTATCTATTGGTTTGCTTGCGATACCAATTAAAAAGTTTTCAATAAAGAAGCTAAGCAGTGACCAATGCCAACAAGGAGCGGAGCGAAGCCTAGCGGCAATTACGGTGAGCCAATGGAATACGCGGATAGCGTCGGCCAATCAGATAGAGGCCCGGAATTACATTTCTCCGTTTCTGCCGAGGTGGGAGAAGAGGCTGGACTTTTCGCTTTTTGCCTGAGCGCAGCACTGGCGGAATCTTGCTGGCGTCACGTGACTGGCTTGGCGGAACTGGAACGTTTTTCAACTCGACATTATCCCCCCCTAAGCTTGTTGTACGTCCTCGTGCAACTTCACAAGCGCTGGGCAAATCGATATTGATATTGCGATGCGTAACAGGAGCGGTGGGTGAGGAAGTGACAGGCGGAGCAAGCGGTACAGGAGAATCGTTCAAAGCGGAGCTGTCATGGAGGGGAGCATCAACGAGAACGTCAGAAGCATCTGCAATATCGACATCGTCGTCAATCGGCATAGCGATCGTATCAGGAGCGATAGTAGCATCGTGGGCAGGGATATCGGCAACGTCGGCAGAAAGATCAGCATTGTCAGTGGGGATGGCAGCGTCGTCGATAGGGGTAGCCGTATTGTCGAAAGGAATAGCAGCTTCAGCGTTGTTCATAGGAATGTCCTTATTGTTGATAAGCATATCGGTATCGTGAATAAAAGGTTCAGCATCGGGAGCGGAAATAACACCATCGTCAGTGGAAGTATGACAGTTGTCGGGCGAAAAGTCGGCTTCGTGGATTATGGCAGGAACCATACTGGGTGTTGGGATGGGCGGCACTGAGATACTGGGTTGACAATTATCGTGAGGCAGAGCCGCTCTAGGGGTTGGAGCGGTAGGTGGCGTAGAAGTCGAGGAAACAACAGGATCAACATGGTCGACGGGATCAATTTCATCAATGGCAGGGGAATTCTTATCACTAATGGCGGCACGCCATTCATTGCGAGCGATTCGAGGGTCGTACCAAACAGAGTCAGTTTGTTCACCACGGGCTTGGACCAAGCGATCGATGTGCACCCAGGACTCAAGCGGTTCACCGGCGATAGTTTCCAGGAGGTATGTGTCGTATTCATCATTTTTCTTGATAACGATGTACGGTCCTTTGAAACGGGGTTCGAGGCCGAAACGTCCTTCGTGAGTGAGTAAGACCTTTTCACCGAGGTCAAAGCCTAAGGGTTTCATGGCAGCATCCCATTTTTCTTTATCGCGTTGGGCGACAGCCTTCATACGGAATTCAGCGGCAGCACGGGCTTGACCAAGGTCTTCCAGTTCTCGCGACGTAATATCTGCTATGGTGCGTGGATCGGCCATCGTAGTCTTGTCAATGTACGGTTGCAAAGGGTCGCCAGGGAGAACAGGATGTCGGCCATACGTCAGGTAAAATGGGCTATAACCCGTGGTAGCATGGGTACGAATACGGCAGGACCAAAGGGTGGCAGGGATAAATTCGTCCCATCGATGGAGTGCGCCTTTAACGTATTTACGTAACATGTCCTTGACCGTGCCATTAAAACGTTCGCATTTTCCATTTGTACGAGGATGAAAGGCTGACGTGAGCTTGTGGTTGGTCTTGATGCATGCGAGGTAAGCGGTAACCAGGTTACTCTTGAAATTCGCGCCACGATCCATCAAGATTTCGCTGGGGCACCCAAAGTTCATTACGATTTCTTCATAAATAAAATCAGCAACCGCTTCGGCAGATGCCTTTGGTACAGCACGGATAATCGGCCAATTGGTGGCATAGTCGACAGCAACAAGAATCCAGCGATTTCCTCGGAGTGTAGTTGGTAGCTCCCCAATAAAATCAAGATGCCATCGATGGAAGGCCTTGGGAACATCTAGAGGGTGCATTTCACCATGTGGGCTTCGGCTTCGTTTTTGGTTGATTTGACAAGCGGGGCAAGCACGTAACCATTTTTCAATATCACGGCGCATCTTCGGCCACCAAAAACGGGTTCGGAAGATATCCAACATGGTCTTGAGTCCAGAGTGTCCAAAAGATTCGTGGTAACGGGCAATGGTGTCAGCGCGTTCATGAAATTCCAGGAAACGAACTTCCACTACTGAGTCATCGGGGAGCTTGACTTTGCGGTAGATTTCATTGCTTTGGACGACGAATTTTTCTTGGTTACGCTTGACAACGGCACGGGCATGGTCAGGGATCTTGTCATCATCGAATCTGTAAAAGATGGGCCAATCGGTCTGATGGGGAAAATGCATCGCATACAAAAATTCGGGTTCCATGGACGCTTCAGCGGGTTCACTGTGGACACCATCCCGGCGAGACAAATGGTCAGGGACATCATTTTCTTTGCCGGGTTTGTATACAATTTCGGGGTCAAACAGTTCTAATTCGGAAATCCATCGGATTAGGCGAGGCGTCGGCTTGATTTGTTGGCGGAAATATTTGAGCGGCAAGTGATCCGTATATACAGTGTACTTGCGTCCATCGATTAAACAACGCCAGGTTCGCAGGGCATGGAGGATTCCGAGGAGTTCACGTTCTTGGGCAGGGTAGGCGCGTTCAGCTCTTGACAACTTTTTGGATTCAAAGGCGAGAGGATGAAAGTGGCCGTTGTCATCAGCTTGCAGCAGGACGGCACCTACAGTACACCGAAATCAGATGCATCGGTTTCGATAATATATGGCTTGTCCCATGTTTGGGCTTTGCAGGAGCGGGGCTGAACACATCTTTCCTTTGATAGCTTGGAAACTGGCTTCACATTTGTCGTTCCATATGACAGGCCGTTTCTTTGGTCCCACACCCTGTGTCAAGTCGGTAATCGGAGCAGCTAAAACTTGCAAACCCAGGGATGAAACGTCGATAGTGCTGTGCTAGACCCATGAAACTGCGGACTTCCTGTACGTTCGTCGGTGTTGGCCATTCCTTGATCGCCTTGATTTTCTCGTCCGCAGGGAGAATACCGTTGGCCGAGATCTTGAACCCCAGGAAAGTCAGTTCGTGCCGGTTTAAATTCGCATTTCTTCAAATTGGCAATCAGCTTGGCTTCACGTAGTCGTTCCAGTACATGTTGCACATGCTTTCGGTGGTCGTTTTCGTTCTTGCTGAAAATCAAAATGTCATCGAGGTAAACCAATGCAAAATCGTCCAAACAATCACCCAGCACTTCGTTCATGAGTTGCTGGAACGTGGGCGGCGCATTAGTGAGACCAAACGGGAGGACCAAAAATTCGTATTGACCGTAACGAGTGTTGAAAGCCGTTTTCGGAACATCTTCGGGAGCAATCTTGACTTGGTGATAACCACTTTGAAGGTCGAGACTGGTGAAACGTTTCGCGCCTTGAAGTCGTTCTAAACATTCGTCGATTCACGGAAGAGGATGCTTGTTACGGACAGTCACCTTGTTGAGTGCGCGGTAGTCGATACACATTCGCATTGATCCGTCTTTCTTCTTAACGAACAATACCGGCGCACCCCAAGGAGAAGCACTGGGGCGCACTAAACCGAGATCGAGAAGTTCCTTGAGTTGTTTCTTCAGTTCATCCAGTTCGGCAGGGCTCATCTTATATGGGGCACGGTTCACAGGCGTAGCATCACCGGTGTTAATGGCATGCCGAACTGATCTATCCGGCGGGAGCCCAGGGAGTCCGTTTTGAAACACGTCATCGAATTGTTTCACCAAGTCTTCCCAGACAGTGTCACGATCTTGTGTGTTGTCAGGAGACTTGAGATGGAGCAGGAAACAATCGGCTTGGTTACGTCGCAGATCTTTTTCGACTTGTTTGGCCGAGATCAAATAATTCAACTGCGGTCTTGACGCGGCACCACGTTGCGGAACTAGATGGTAGTCTTGTCCATTTTCTCGGATACGCCATACATCGGTTCACCAGTTCGGTTCGGGTCTTACAGAGTGTAACCAGGTTCGTCCAAGGATCAGGTCGAATTTCGTGTCGAAAATGTTTGCGATCAATGTGTTGTGGAAGCCATTCAGATTGATGTTCAATATAGCCTTTCGATCGACTGTCTTGATGTCACCACCGGCGGTCTTGATCATACGCGTGGGAGTTTTTTCAGTCTTCATAGCATATTGGGCCATGCGGGAGGATACGTAATTGTCACTGGCACCACTGTCGATCATTGCAAGGAAAGTATGACCATGAATTATAACGGGATACAACGGCAAATCGGTTTCGGAGGTCGTATATAGATGGCTCAGGTAAGAGTTATCTTCATGATCAACAGTAATAATGGAATCGTCAACGTAAGCGGAAACATTTTCTTTATTGGAGTCGTTTGTAACAACTGGAGCTTGAGAGGAGGAAGTTTCTTCTATCGTACACAACTGACCCTCCTTCTTTTCAGTTGTGCCCTTCAAAAACCCGGCGGGCATCATCCATCTTCTTGATCTCCGCCAGACGGACCTTGCAATAACGCTTTATGTGACCAGGCTTGTGGCAAAACCAACAACTGTCATCTTGCTCTTTCTTGCGGTATTCGGGTCTACGGTGTCCAGGGCGCGGTTTCCTTCCGATAAAATCGAGGTCCATCATATCGTCTTGATAGGGGAACTTGGGATGGGCCACAGGAGGAGCACCAACGCGTTTACCACTTTCAAACGCCAGGGCAAAACGGACAGCTTCATCGAACGAATGAGGATCGCGAGTGACCACATGGATGCGGGTGTCTTCTTGCAGTCCACGGGTGAAACGGTCGAGAGCTTCCTCGTCAGAAACAGTGGAGACTTCTAAAAGGACATCATGAAAATCGTCAACGTATTGTTCCACCGATCCAGTTTGACGAAGGTTCGCCAAACGATCACGGGCAGCTCGATTTGAGTGGCTAGGGCGGAATTCGCCATTCAGTTCCCTCTTGAAGCCTTCCCAGGTAGCAGGGACCATGTCGTCTTTTTCGAGTCTTCGGCACCAAACGTCAGCACGATCACGTAGCAAGGTCAAAGCATAGGTGACTTTTTCAGTCACGTCCAACTGCATGGCGTCACCATAGCGTTCAACAGAGCGGATCCATCCATCAATAACGGATGCAGAGCGTTCACCAGAGTAAGTATCTGGCTCACGGACACGGAGTTTCGGAGCGGAGGTCTTAGCCTTGAGAGCCTCCTTCACGGCCGCAGCAACAATTGTTGCCATAGACAACTGTTCTTGAGACAGTCTAGCGTCTTGCATATTCTCGTCTTGAGACATGTTCGGTCGTTAAAAAAAAAATAATTCGTATTTCCAGAGATAACAGAGTCTTCAAAAAATAATAATTCTTGCAGATAAACCGGATCGTTACTATTCAGCCGCTACTAATGTCAGATCGCGATATATCTCCTGGCCCCTATTGGTTCGATATATGCGCGAAATAAAAA